ACAAGGGGGGAGGGGGGAGGGTGGTACGGATTCGACCGAAATTCCCAACCAATGATGTGCCCTGGGGGCAAAACAATTCAGTTCCCTCATAACGCTTATTGTCTGAATTTTGTCCGCGCGGAGCAACGGGATAACCACTGAATATTTTGAACTTTTTCACGGACACTGTCCCCGATCTCTGTGCCTTCGAAATCCGTCAACTGGCGTATCTGTCACCCCAAAGCGCTTGACGTTCCATTTTAATTAAACCCGTCCCCCTTCCCCCATCCTACATAGCATGTTCCTGAATTATCCCAGCGTCTTAACACTTTTCGGGAAAATATTACTACTTCGTCTTCCCCCTCCCCCAGAAACTGCTGTTGAGGGGAGAGTGGGGATAAAGCACAGATAATGTAGTAAAAACTCAATGATACCAACAGGTGAATGGAACTTAATTCAATGATTCGTAGTTTCAGTGATACAGATAACTTTCAAGGGTTGTGAGCAGGGCAGATTGTTGTTAATTATTCCCCTACTGGGGGTGGTCGTATTTGGGGTGAGGAGAGTTTTTTGATGGTTGATGTTTCTTGTTTCAGTGACGTAACTGCGAGGGAGTAGTCGTAGTTACCTTGCGACCCTTTGAGAGAGGTTGATAATTTGATGATTTTCGTGGTTTTTCCTGTTTCATATGTAGCATATATCCCCCCACTCCCCTCCCCCTTCCCGCTCGACAGCAAAATTTTGGGTGAATTAGGAAAATCTTCGGGAAGTTCCGGAAAAGTGGTAGGAATACGGGGAAAATCCAAGAAACGGTGTAGAGGGGGTGTCGTATCTTCCTCACTGTTCCACACGTGCTCCCCGCTCGACAGCGCGATGAGGAGGGAACCGGGAGGGAGGGAGGTCGTACGGACTCGACCAAAATCCCAAACCAATGACGTGCCCTGGTTTTGAGTGCTATGACTTCCATATGAAATTGAGACTCTTCTCGTGATAAACTTTTCTCGTTTTTTTCAATTTTGTTCGTCTTTAAGCGCAATTGAAAAGTCGTTTTCCGCTACTTACCCCAGAAATACGGAATTACATGGCAGAAGGAAATCAGCCATACTATAGCAGTGAGGATGCAGGTGCACTTCGTAGTGAGAAATGACTTCGCACGATATGGCATGGAAATTGCCACGAATCGATTAATTGATATAACCAAATGTGTATAGACGCACACGTCCCAGAAAAAAATGATCACTTGACCAAATATCTTGCCAAATCGTCCAGTAGAGAGAGTACTTTGTCTAAAAGGAATACTTCAGTTACAGTCATGATGGCTGAAAACCATATGGGCGCGATAATCTGGTACTCTAAAAAGAAATGATAGCAGGGGTGTTAAATAGTGGCAAAATGGCGAAAAAGCGAAGTGAAACGGTCAAAAAACTGCAAAAAAAAACCTTTGTTCTGTCATGTTTCCAGAAGGCGTGTTCGGGCGAGCTCCCCGTTGGCATTGTGCCAATATCCGGTACGGTAGATACGGCTGCATGAGGTACACCTATATCCATGCAGCTCCGCAACCGTTTCATATCAGTCCCTTGGCTTCATATTGTACTTGGCGAATGAAGCGATCATCAGGTGCCGTCGGACGGACGGGCGTGGTGGGCATTCGGGTCGGTATGTTGCAGCTTGATAGGGCGTAAGAGTACCTTCCTTGGAAAAGATGCTTGCCGAATCCAGTCTTGCTAGGCGTATTAGTCTTACACTTCTTGGATATTTATCACTCTAAGTGCCTTCAATGCACCCCCCTAGGCAGTTTTCCAGCAATGGTTGGCATCCTAC